GACTACAGAGCTTAAACTTATGGATGATAACGAAGCTTTGAAGGTCTGGGGGGGAAAAAGCCAATGCCCGAGCTGAGAATGAAAGGAAGAGAGCTGACGAAGAAAAAGCTCGGGTTGATGAGGCTGTAAAAAGAGTTGAGGAAGCTACAAAGAAAGTGGAACAGGCTGAGCTCAAAGCTTCCAAAGCGGTTGAGAATTGGAGGGCTTTTTCTGAGTTCGACGCACTAGTTCAGGATGCTTAATGTTGTGGCATTGGGTGAGATTATAAAGTATATCAACGGATAAAGGCCAAACTTTGACACTTCCTTTTTGGTGGAGGCATACAAAGAACAAAAGAAAGAGTTGTAGCAGTTGTCGAAGGCGGTAGGAGTTGGGATCTCTCCTACCGATAAAGACATTGAAGACGAGTTCATACCTCCGGGGACCTCCCAGCCTCATAGTTTTACTGTTGTTATTTTTGGCCTTTGTCGAATGTTAAAACTTCTTTAAGAACTTACTTTTGTAATACTAATCCATTAATTAATGACTATCAATTTTGTTTTTATTCCGTGTAAAATATTATTACTTTTGCAATTCTTGTTATAAAAAATGAAACTTGCTACTCCTATTTGAACTGAGTGTTGCAGCACATGCGACCTTAGTTCAGCCTGTTTGAACTAAGTATTGCAGCACATGCAACCTTAATTCGGCCTGCTCAAATGCAGGGCTTGAATAATTTCCTTGTAGGAAATTCCACAAAGTTTTGCAGCACATGAAATCTTAGTTTGGCTTGCTCAAACGTAGGGCTTGAATAATTTTCTTTCCACTAAGTGTTAGCAGTTCATGCAATCTTAGTTCGGTGAATCAATGATTCCAGATATTTTCCCTTTCTACAAAACATATGTTTTATTATAGACGACATACGAGTGATACAAAATACATTCTTTGTTCGTCTAGTAATACTTCTTAAGGTGTTCTGCGTTTTAAGGGTGCAGCAGAGGTCTACCCTCCATATCTTCCAGCTCATAAGCCCCCTTAAGTAGTACTTTGGTTACTTTGTAAGGGCCTTCCCAGTTAGGTCCTAGAGATCCAATGCTAGATTCCCTTGTAGCCTGAAAGCTTTTTCTTAACACCAGATTACCGACCTCGAACTCCCGTTTTCTAACCTTCTGATTATAGTATTTCGCGTTGCGTTGCTTATATACGACATTCCTGATTTTGGCTTCATTCCTTCTTTCTTCTATTAAATCCAATTCTACTCGCAAGGCCTTCTCATTTCTTTCCTCTTGATACATCGTCGTTCGAATAGATAGAATGCCTATCTCAAGAGGGATAACAACTTCCACCCTAAAAGCTAAAGAGAAGGGGGTTTCTCCAATACTATTACTAGACGTAGTGCGATAAGACCATAGCTTCTAAGGGGTTTACTCACAGGTGGTCCCCAACAATTAATGAATTACTTAGGGGATGAAGCTAAATCATATGATTGGTAGATTTGGCGGACGTTGATGTAAGATCATCCATATGCCACTCACTGATTGACCATTTGTACAATGTGCCAGAACCAATAATCATCATGTCCCTTCAAACCTCAATAAATATCTTAATCCGAGCTGACCTCAAGTATCCCAAACTAATATTATTAGCACAAGCTTATCGAACATAAGAAACTGTAGTTATCGACCTCGGAGTTCGGATGCCAACAATTAAAATTAAATAAAGAATATAAATATTATTTAATTAAATTTGAAAAAATTAGCGATTTGTTTACAATGAATATTCAATTAAAGAATTTTAAATTAAAAAATTAAAAGGGAAAAAAGAATTTGCTAATTCGTTAAAAAAATATTTCATTTTAGTAATTATCAATTTCAAATTCTTTATTTAATTATATATATAAAAAATTCAAACAAAAGAAAATTATTAAAATTAAATAAAGAATATAAATATTATTTAATTAAATTTGAAAAAAATTAAAGATATGTTTATAATGAATATTTAATTAAAGAATTTTAAATTAAAAAATTAAAGGAAAAAAAGAATTTGTTAATTCGTTAAAAAATAATATTTCATTTTAGTAATTATCAATTTCAAGTTCTTTATTTAATTATATATATAAAAAATTTAAACAAAAGGAAATTATTGAAATTAAATATAGAATATAAATATTATTTAATTAAATTTGAAAAAAAATAAAGATTTGTTTACAATGAATATTTAATTAAAGAATTTTAAATTAAAAAACCGAAAGGAAAAAAAAGAAGTTGCTAATTCGTTAAAAAAGAATATTTCATTATTTCATTTTAGTAATTATCAATTTCAAATTCTTTATTTAATTATACATAAAAAAAAATTCAAACAAAGGGAAATTATTAAAATTAAATAAAAAATATAAATATTATTTAATTAAATTTGAAAAAAGTAAAAATTTGTTTACAATGAATATTTAATTACAAAAAATTAAATTAAAAAATTAAAAGGAAAAAAAAAGAATTTGCTAATTCGTTAAAAAATAATATTTCATTTTAGTAATTATCAATTCCAAATTCTTTATTTAATTATATAAAAAAATTCAAACAAAGGGAAATTATTAAAATTAAATAAATGAGATCATTGCCCCGAAATGGGTACAGGGTGGGGCGGTACGGGAAACATAGTCCCCGCCCTTTACTCACCCCATTTAAAATTTATTTTAAATTTAGGATGTGTTTGAGTCACATTATTTTGGAAGAATGTATTTTAAAATAATAGATTGATGGAAAATGTGTAGTTGAAAAAGAAGGAAAAATTATTGATGTAATGAAAAATATTATTTTATTGAAAATGTGTGGTTGAAAATGAGTAGAAGAATGTGAATAAAAATTTTAATGTGACTCAAATAGGGACTAAATAAAGAACATAAATATTGTTGAATTAAATAAAGAATATACGTATTATTTAATTAAATTAACCAAATAAATTAACTATAAAACAAAATTAAATAAAGAAAAAAAAAATATCGTGGGTCACTGTCAGTCAACTGTTAATAGTCGTCAATGATATTTTTGGTTTTTTGTTTGTAAAGATTATGGCCCCGTTCGGGAGTGATTAAAATCCAATTAAAATTGAAGATATGGCCGTTATTGGGTCCCACCCGTCTAATAAAAGTCAACAATAACGGCTATATTTTCAATTTTAATCCGATTTTAATCCCTCCCATACAAGGCCTATGTTTTAACTTTTTCTTTATTTTATTTTAGGGATAATTGCAGCAAAGGTCCCAAATCTTTCAGATTTTTGCGCACTTTACCCTAACTTTTAATTTGTGCCAACGGAGGTCCCAAACCTTTCAAAAATATGCACCGGATGTCCAAATGGATGATTTACGTCCGTTTGACCATTAGTTGACCCAGAATAGTAAGTTTTGACCAATTTTTACCAAACTAGAAGGGGCAAAATTGTAACTTGACAATTTAATCCCATAAAATAATTAAACTATAACAAAACCAAAATAATAAAAAAAGAATAATATTCATCTCCATCTTCACCCTACGCTACCCTACCCTATCCTACCCCCACCCACCTACACATCCAAACCAAAAATAATCCTGCCATCTTCTCCAAACCGTAGCGCCGCCGGCACCACCTCTAGCCCCGGCAACATCAAAACCATATCCGGCACCACCGCCAATAAAGACTCCAAATTTACCATCCCCATCCCCTTCCACTTCAACACCCATCTCCTATTAGAGGTTTAATCTGCAGAATCAACCTTCAAACCCCAACTCCNTTTTTGAGGTTTAATCTGCAGAATCAACCTTCAAAACCCATCTCCTTCAAAACCCACTTCAACAGCGATTCCGTTTGTAGAATCAACCTGTTTGTGGTATCCCTATTTTTACATCAAATAGATTTAGTTTTGCATACTGCATTGTTGTAATTCTTCTGTAGAATCAACCTTCAAAACCCATCTCCGACGGCGGAGTTTTGGTAGATCCGGCAGAGCATAGGAAGGATCTGGAAAAGAAAACAAACCGATTCTCCACACCGCCTTTAGAAGCTACCAAGATTTGCCTCCTGTAGTGTCCTCTTCTTGCTAACAATCTGTCATTTTTTGCTCCTCAGTTCTTGTGAGAGAAACTGATTTTGGGTCTCATTTTTTATAGGATAAAGCTTTGGCTGCATTGGCAATTGAGGACAAGAAAAGGCAGTATGCTGCTGCTGAGAAGTACCTTGAAGATGTTTTGCAGTTCATTGTTGTCTCTAAGATTGTATTGTCTATGATAATTTGAGAGATAGAAAGAGAGGTGGAGTGAGTGCAAAAGGAAATTGCTGAGCAAAAGGAAACAATCGGTCCGAGGGAGTAGAGCTGTAGACTTTTTGTGTTGCGTGAAATGGTAATTTGCAGACTTCACTCCGGCGACTGGGATTTTTGGTTTGGGTGTTTCGTTTGCAGCTTCATGGGTTTAGGGATTCTGCAGCTTCATGGGTTTTTATGGTGTCTTTGGATTCTGCAGCTTCACGGATTCTGCAACTTCACAGCTTCACNTGTCAATTTACCACTCTGCCCATTCGAAAATTGTCAAAATTGGTCAAACTTTACTATTCTTGGTTGACTAACGGTCAAACGGACGGAATCCGTCCATTTGGACCTCTGCTGCATATTTTTGAAAGGTTTGGGACTGTGGCTGGCACAAATCAAATGTTAAGGTAAAGTGCGCAAAAATTTGAAAGGTTTGGGACCTTTGCTGCAATTATCCCTTTATTTTATTGCATTAATGGGTCAACGGTTATCTCGTGGAAACATGGTCTAGTCTACGAGGCATTTCCCATTATTTCCTCTCCTATAATCCCCAATAAATCAATTCAAACTTCAACCCCAAATAATTCCAAAATCAGAATATCAAAACCCAGAATTTCTTATTGAAAAACAGCCCAAATTCTCTATCACACCCACATCTCAAGAAATTAAAAACACCCAGAAATTTTTACACGGATATATATAAAAAATTGTGTGCATATTTTTGTTTTTATGATTTAACATGTATAGTAATTTCAAGGAGCGAGCAATTGAGTATGTGCGGCAGGCGGTGGCGGAGGACAATGAAGGGAACTATGTCAATGCCTATCCTTTGTATATGAATGCTTTGGAGTATTTTAAGACCCATTTGAAGTATGAAAAGAACCCAAAAATAAAGGAGGCGATCACTCAGAAGTTTACGGAGTATTTGCGCCGGGCGGAGGAGATCCGGGTCGTGTTGGATGAAGGTGGCTCAGGGCCGGCGTCTAATGGGGATGCGGCTGTGGCTACTCGGCCCAAGTCTAAACCCAAGGATGGGAACGATGGGGAGGATGCAGACAAAGAGAAGTTGAGGTCTGGGTTGAATTCAGCTATTATCAGGGAGAAGCCTAATGTTAAGTGGAACGATGTTGCGGGATTGGAAAGTGCAAAGCAGGCGCTCCAGGAGGCTGTGATTTTGCCTGTCAAGTTCCCGCAGTTTTTCACTGGTATTTCACTTGTTTTGGTCCCTTTGTTTTGGTCAACGGATTTGCTTAATAATTTGTGTGCATGTGCAGTAGTGTGTGTTTGCAATCGAAGTTTTTATTTATTTTGTTGTTATTCAATTAAAGGTTGGATTTATGGTTGAGATTGGTGGTAATGTGGATTCTACTTAAACTAGTTGAACAAATAATATTGCAGTGAAGTGGAGGAGGAGGAATAGTGATTATACTAGTTGTAATTGTCATATCTCTAGATTTAACGGTGAAATTAAGAGCTAAAATTTATTTAAGTTTATTTTATTTTGTGGTATCCGGTGTTAGCAAGAGGAATTTGGCTCAGTCTATTGTTTGTATTGCAAATTGGATGTTAAATTCTTGTTTTACTTCTTTTTCCATCCATGGAATGAAGTGAAATTTTACCCTGACTGGGAGAGGATGGAGAATATGATTGCATTAACCTGCATCTGACAAAGCTAATAAAGACAAAATTTCCTGGAGAATGTCAGCATTTACCTCCGAGAACTAAGACCCGTACTACTTGTAAAGAGTCGGTCTCGACCTCCTTGATAGAGAGTCCACAATCTCGAGGAAATTTCAACCTAAATCAGAGTGCTTGAGCTTCGGCCATTTCCTGATTGAAGCCACCATGGAGACACCTAGCACTAGCTGAAATAACCGCCCCATCCCCATCCCCGAATGATAGCCCCCGTGCCAATAAGCCTATCAACTGCTGCACTGTATCAACATTCAGTTTGAGGCTGCCAACTGCTGGTTTTTGCCAAGCTAGTCCCACGCGCTGTGCACCCAAATTCGCCTTATCCACCAGACAGTGCACATGGCATTTCGGCCAGTGTGTTTCAGCCCCTTGGTTTGGCTTATGGAAATTTTGGTTTTTTTTATTCCAAATAATCCATAAGATACTACAAATAATCTCCAGATTTTCATTGGGTACACGGTGGAATATTTTTAAGAGTGGATAATCAACCGAGGCCCTTACACATGCTTTGATAAGAGACCAAAACCCACTTGTACTCTACACTTCTCTACCATGTGAACACTGGAAAAAAAATGAAAATTTGTCTCCACCTGATTGCGTTCTCCTCCTGACTAAGTTTTCTAGTTTTTGACTGAGAGCAAGGAGTTCCGAAACAGCCCGAAACAAAATTAGTATCTTAGTGGCAGCGTCAACCCCCACTACGCATTCCACCAGGAGTGCAAGACGTCTGAGCTAATCCCCCCTGCCGTCTCCACATCCCCAACCAACCGATGATAGCAAATTTTGACCGTATATGCTCCTTTCTTTTCACACTGCCTAATAACACAGTCTCTTCTACCTACAGCATTGAGAGGGATAAAAAGAATAACTTCAGTGTCGATAGACGAGTGTCAATTGGCGAGAAGTGCTGGGAAATAAGTGTTTCTTTCTCTTCCCTATCATTTACTTAATATTTCTGAGATGTTTATGTTCTTCTCCTTTCTATTGCTACACCGCCTGCTTCAGACTGCACAGGAGAATTTGTGAATAGTTTTGCATATTGTGGTTGAGATCTATTGAACCGTGCAAAGGTGAAAGGATATGAGAGGCATCGACACTCATTTTCTTTTAGCTAGTACTAGATGATTTATAGCTTTAAGATTCAGCCAGAGGCTGCTTCCTTTAGTTCTACTGACTATAGTGTTGGCTACCGTGTCAATATTCGCTTAGGCGGCCCACCAGTATGATTTGTTAATGAAATCCAGCTATTTTGCTATATTACCCTGGACATTAAGTCTGTTATGGTGTTCCATGGGTGAGATGCGATTAGGGGAAAAGATATGTATGAGAGCAGTTAGGTAGCACGAGCTCCTTCTGTAGATAATTTTTAGCATTCTAGACAGCAGAGGTTCTCTTCCTTTTGTACACTGCCCCTTAAAGCCCAAACTGGTAGATGCATACTGATTCGTTCAAGTTAGTATCTTGGTGGTTCATTAAGACTTCTAAATCTTACCTTTGATTGCTGATCCGTACCCTTCTGCGAGTACTACTAGAAAAATGCCATATCAAGTTCTATAATGTTTCATGGCTTGCTAATTCTCTCTGGATGAGAAACCAAAGGGTTTCCCTGTATTTTGATGATTAAAAGCAAAGTGCAACTGATTAGTTTGAGCTTAGGGAACTGAGGTGGATTTCTCAGCTTGTGGTGCATATGAATGAGTGTATTTGGACAGGAAAACCTTATGAAGAAACTTTGTTTGGATGTGGTTGCATAGTCAATTTAGTTCTTCTAGTGCTTTTAAGATATCTGTCTTCATCCGTGTGAGTAAAGTTCTGAGAAAGGTTTTAGTAAGTGTATATGAAATAGAATATACTCTTAAGAGGGGGAAAAACTTGCTGAGTAGGGAGCAAATTTTTTCGAAATACATTTTCATACCAAGGCGTTGAATTTGCAATTATATCACTCACAATTTTATAACTAGAATTTGAGAAAACCTGCCCTTTTAGGCACCCTGCAGTGAATTGCTCATAACATCGTGTAGGTAGTTTAGTGTAGTGGATGACTTCCCTAGCCAACAACCTACCCCCCCACCCCCATCCCCTACCCAGAAAAAGAAGATAAAAGAGAAGGAAAGACGGGGAAAGCATAAAATGTCAATCTTGTTCGTGCCAATTTATCAGCTCATCTCTTATTTGTCATGGTTTTGGAGAAGAAAACATGGGATAAATTCATTTATATATCCCAGTTTTGATTTATGATATGATTTCTTATTTCACATGCTTGTAGGCAAGAGGCGCCCATGGAGGGCATTCCTTTTGTATGGTCCACCTGGAACAGGAAAGTCATATTTAGCTAAGGCTGTTGCTACAGAAGCAGACTCAACCTTTTTCAGGTAACTTGTCTATCCTCAAAAACACACTTATTTTATCTGTAGAATACTGAATATGTGATGCTGCCCTTGCATCTTGTATGTATTACTAGTTCACGTGAATCTATTATCATGTTCATGTTTTCGTCTAAATCTTAAAGAGTTTAAAAAATATTTTTCTTTCTATCTGGTGAATATGTTTTCATGATCAAGGGAGCATTATTCTCCATATGCTGCATCTGCTGCTTCATTTAACTTTGTTTTCAAATGATTTATTTTGATATTGTTGGCATTTCAACAAACACTCGATTATATATTGTTTAATGCAATGTCAATATACTAGTTCTCCCTTTTATTTACCGAGTTTATTATGCGAGGAGCTTCCAACTGAAATGAGCAAATTGATGGTATTCTTGAAGTCTTGTGATGACTGGCTTATGTCTAAAAATTCTTAAAAAGTTAATTCAGAAATTCTATAGCACAAGTTCCTTACAATTCCTTTCCTTTATATGTATATATAAGGTATTTCTACTCTATTACTGAAGATCTCTCAAGTATTTCACATTTTCACTTCCTATGCAACCAAACCAAGTCCAACCACATTATTCACATACAAAAGTAACAAAACCCTCACATAATTTAGGCATTAATGAATCACAATTTCACAGCAAGTGCAATCCCAAATACTAATGCAGCTTTTGTTACACTATTCTCACTAAAAAGCGTAATGTAACACACACATTAGAATGTATAGATATTACAAGTAATGAGAGACAAAAAGATATATATAGATAAAATTAGTGATAATACGCGTGGTGGTCTTTTTCAACCATTGAAATGTCAATGTCCTAGAGGAAATGAGGAGCAACAGGTAAGATCGAATCAGCATAGGAATTTTTAAATCCCTTGAGAATTCTAGGGTAAGATTTTAGGGTTAAATGGATTTGGGATTTTGGTTTTCAATTTCTCTGCAAATGCAATTTTAATCGATGACAGGGATTAAGTGAGCGGATTTTGACTTCAGCTAAAAAAAATTGAAAAAAAAAAAATTATTTGAGAGATTGGTGGGCTGGCTAAGTGCTATTGGATTGATGGGTGGCTAATGCTTGGCTAATGGGCTATAATTTTTTGTTTTTGTTTTTCCTTTTGGGCAATTATTTTGGATATGGGCTTGGACAGCCCTGGACTACAGCCCAGTGCTGCCACCCCCCATGTCCGCCCCTGATTTCATTTCTTCAATGTTTTTTCATTCCCGTTATTTTTATCATGTTTGATGTTTGTATGGTTACTGTGTGGAGGATTGCCAACGAGATTCAGAATCAGGAAGGAATGTCAATTTGAGAATGAGGGCAGAAAATAACCGATTTAACGTATCCAGGAACTAATATTGGGGAAGGCAATTATATGTTTCTGCAACGTCGTTTCCTCTTCCTAAATAATTGCCATCCTTTAGAACAGAAGATTTGTAATCGTCTGGGTGGTATTTTATATTGGATTCTGAGATTGTCTGTGTTCTGTATACCTTATGTTGAGCCCTCACCTGCATTGACCAGATTGATGTAAAATTTTGGAGTAGATTATGGGGGTACATTGTTTACTGTAACACATGAATGTGGAGCTAAGTTCTTCTGTTATTCTTGTGGTTTTACAAGGGCTTTTGTTGGCAGGGTTTTCGAAGGATGGTGACGTGTTAAATGGTTTCTGCTGTACTATTTTTGTAGAGGGGCTTAGTTTGAGATTCCTTCTTCATGCATGTCATGATGTGTATGATGGTGCCCAGGTTCGCTGTGTAGTCCTTTGGATCCTCAACCAATACTTGCTTGAGTTTATATAGAAAGACTTGGGTAATGGCAGTTTGAACAGAATATTTCTCATCTATATGCCAAACTGGTGTATGTTATTGTCTGATGCACTGGCTTCTTGTCTCTCTTCAGTGTGAGGAAGGGTCAAAGTTGCACTTGTGCTATAGCTTCTTGAGTCTTCAATTAATTGCCCTCTGCCTTTTCCTAGACTTCCATTATGAAATTTGATATCATGCATGACAGGAACTAAAAGATAACAGTAATTGTATGTATTTTATTGAATAACATGTCTGAAACTGGCATTGGGAGTGAGATTCGGGGGGCAATTTAATTGTACTCGTTTTCAATTATAATTTATAACCTCTTCTGGGGTGCAATTAATTTTCAACAAGTTTGAGGGCATGAACAGAAAGGCTGTAAAACTGTTCAGTCAGGAAAGGTGCCTAATTGGCGCTCTCAATCTGGGATTCTATTTTATTGTGAAGCATAGCCTCTGTTTACTTGACAAATACGTTGTCGGGTGTTTGCAATCAGTGGATGCAGTTCATCATGCTCTTTTTGTTCTTTTATATGCTATTTTCTATTTCAGATGTTTCAATGATCGAGAACTCAGGCCATTAAGTTGGCAAGTGCCAACTGCTGTTCTTTTGCAGTGTTTCTTCATCAGACTTGGTTTCAAAGTGGATGGGTGAAAGTGAGAAGCTAGTTTCAAATCTCTTCCAAATGGCTCGTGAAAGTGCTCCTTCCATTATATTCATTGATGAAATCGATTCCCTTTGTGGCCAACGTGGAGAAGGAAATGAGAGTGAAGCTTCTAGACGAATCAAAACGGAACTGCTTGTGCAGATGCAGGTAATGAATGTCATGCCATGGAAAAAGGATTCTTGTAGCCAACTTCAAATTTATTTTAATATGAATTGGATTTTTTATTGTTGCTGACGTCTCTCGTAATGGCATTCAAACGTTTTGACATTTTTCGTTCATTTTCTCTGGTATTCTGTTTCTTATCTACTCAAAACTTTAGGGGGTCGGACACAATGATGATAAAGTTCTTGTACTTGCTGCCACAAACACTCCTTATGCGCTTGATCAGGTAAGAGCTAATATTACTACTCAGGCACAGTGTGGGCCCCCAAATAAATGTTTAACGAATAAACATTTTTCTTATAGGCTATTCGGCGACGATTTGATAAACGCATTTACATCCCTCTCCCGGATCTGAAGGCACGACAACACATGTTCAAGGTATGGAACTTGTCTTCGGCCTAATGAACAAATGAACAGTTGAATGAAGATTAATAGACTCTCTTTTGTATGGATTGTCACTCTTATGCAGGTGCACTTAGGAGATACCCCTAACAACTTGACTGAAAGAGACTTTGAAGACCTGGCTCGTAAAACTGAAGGATTCTCTGGTTCAGATATTTCTGTTTGTGTAAGCGTGTGGGTGATATATTGAGTGACTAGTGTTAAATAGAACTCCTTTGGATATCGGGTGCTCGCCCACATTTTTTGCAGCTTATTTTAATGTTCTTTTTACGAGTTTAATAGGTAAAGGATGTTCTATTTGAGCCTGTACGGAAGACTCAAGATGCGATGTTTTTCATCAAGACTTCTAACGGTTTGTGGATGCCATGTGGACCAAAGCAATCAGGTGCTGTCCAGATATCAATGCAAGAGCTTGCTGGTCAAGGACTTGCTTCTCAGGTATTACATTGGTGATTTAACTATTGTTTATGGATTAAACTTCCATTATACTTTATTTTTAATAATTATTATAAGGTGTGTTGCTACGTTTGTTATCTCTAGACTCTGTATACTGGCAATGACGTGTCCTATTTTCATCTGAATGGGAAGGCCGGAACAAAACTTTGAACAGCAGCCATAACTTATGATGTTATATGACTACTTTTTCTTCGTTAAAAAAGTCCTACAAAATCAATGGTTTACAAAATGAAACTTGACAATTCTCTTGGTTTATAATAGAAAATGAATTTTAGACTCTCTCTAGGGGTGTAACTGGGTAATGCCGGCTGGTGTTGGGCCTGAACCTAGGAGATTTAAATTTTGTTTGATTGGGCTAATGCTGAGCCTTGGACTTTGGCCCCACTCCACCTCCCCCACTTTTCTTTTGAAAAAAGACAGTCTTAGGCTTGGCATGGTCCAGCTCAAGAGGCGGGCATGCCTTGCCGTGACATGCTGGGCTTTAGCTTACCGAGCCTGGACCACGTGACCCATTTTTTACGTCCCTATGCGAGTATGAGAGAATTGAGTTACCTTTCTTATCTTATCCCAACTGAATCTATTTTTATCAAGTGTTTCGGTACATCTTACTGACTATTGATGAATGCCTTCTGCAGATCATTCCACCTCCGATATCAAAAATGGACTTCAATAAGGTCCTCACAAGACAGAAGCCTACAGTGAGCAAATCTGACCTCAATGTTCATGAGCGATTCACAAAGGAGTTCGGCGAGGAAGGCTAAGAAAGTCACGAGGTGAATACTGCTACTGCTAATGCAACTTCTGGCATTTGTATTTTTTGTGTTTTTACCATTTCAAACATAAGCCTCTTCAGGCAGGAAGGTGACACGACTGCCATTTTCCCCCGTATGGAGTTGGAAAATGAGCCGACACTTGCTCAAATCGCCTATACTAATTTGTGTACAAACGTCAAAAATATTGCCCGAAAATGATGTTAATATTTATGGGTGTGCAATTCTGGTTGCAATCGAATTATATCAAAGATTTATTCCATCATAAGCACTGAAACCTTTGTTCACTTTCTAGGGATAGCAACTGCACAAGTAGTTTTCGAATGTAGCCTTCTTTTTTCTTCTCTTTTATATTTTCCTTGCCATTTGGGTGTGTTAAAATGCTGGCTTTATCCTTCCAATGATATAGCACTTCTTTGATAACTTTTTGAATATAGAACTATGTTCTCCTTACGTGAAGCATGTTACTCAAAAGTCGTAACTCTACTTTTTGAATGCATTTATAGAAGTTTTGGGTAATTAGCACAAAACATTCCTACCTTCAATATCATTGGAAACATGAAATTTGTGGAACTTTTTTCCCTAGTTTTGTTGTTTGGATTTGCTTTAATACATGGAGCCACCATAAATAAAAAGGTAATGCATGCATGAGCATGTCAAATTTAGTTAAGACTAGTATCTTATCTCCAGTTGAGTAAAACATCAATACCTATAGTATCTTATCTTGAGTCGAGTAAAACATCAACACACATACTATGATTTGATAATTACGTAAATCTTTTCTTATACTTGAGTCAAGTAGAAATTCAGTACACGTACTATGATTTAATATCTATTGATTTATCTCTTAAGATTTCAGAGTGGAGTCCCTATGAAATACTAGTCTGATTTTGTTCTTACAGTAGCCTATCTCATAAACCGAACCCTTCTCCACTCCGAAAACACAAAACACCATTTGAACTCCTTTTCAAACCTAAGCCTACCTATTCTCATCTTAAAGTCTTTGGTTGTATAGCTTTTGCCTCTACATTCACTCACAACTGACACAAATTTGATGCTAGAGCAAGGAGATATGTGTTTTCAGGTTATCCCATTGGGATTAAAGGTTACAAACTGTTAAATTCAGATTCAAACAAAGTTCTTATTTCTCGAAATGTTGTTTTTCATGAAAACATCTTTCCTTGCAAATCCACAGACATTATCACTTATCCTCTTTTACCAACCTTGACCGAAATGCCTTTTGCTCAACCATCAACCATTGATCTAAGCTATCCTATTGAGCAAACTCCTGTCCATGACCAACCTTCAGATTCTTCAGACCAACCATCTGCATCACTAAGTCCATCTAACCAACTTGAAACCTCTATAAAATCTCCTTAAAAAAAAAAAATTCCACAAGTCCTCACCTACCTCGAAGGTTCACCACAAATAGAAGACCACCTTCATATCTGCAGGATTTTGTATGCCAACAAGCCTCCTCACCTCCCAATTCACAAGAGTTGAACAAGGAGAAAGGCCATGGTAAATCAGGTAGTCCTTTTCCTTTATGTGCCACTTTATCATATCAAAAATTGTCTAATTCGCAAAAAGCCTTTGTCACTTCCATATCAACACACACAGAACCCAAAACGTATCAACAAGCTATTAAGTGTGTGGAATGGCGTAAGGCCATGAAAGCCGAAATAGATGCACTAGAGATAAATGACACTTGGAGCTTTGATTGAATTGCCTCCTAGAAAGGTTGTTATAGGCTGCAAATGGGTCTATAAAATTAAGTTCAATGTAGATGGAAGTGTAGAATGGTACATGACTAGACTTAAAGCTAAAGGATATACGCTACATGAAGGGTTAGACTACCATGAAACATTCTCACCTATAGCTAAACTAGTTACTGTGAGAACTTTATAGGCTGTTTCTGCAATTAAGGGTTGGTTTTTGCACCGATTGGATGTAAACAATGCATTTCTACATGGAGACCTAGATGAGGAAGTGTACATGCAACTATCACCTGGATTTTCCAAGGATGGTGAATCAATAGTTTGTAAACTTCGCTAGAGTTTATATGGGTTGAAGCAGACCTCTAGGCTATGGCACTCTAAACTGTCCTCATTTATCATTAGCAAGATTTTCAACAATCCAAAGCTAATTATAGTTTGTTTACAAGGTCCACCAAAGATTCTTTCATAGCCATATTAGTCTGTCTCGACAACATTATAATAGCTGGAAATAGTGTGCAGGTTATTGAATATCTCAAGTCATCTCTTGATGCCAAGTTCAAGATCAAAGATCTGGGTGTACTGAAGTATTTTCTTGGGATAGAAGTGGCACGATCAGAAAAGGGGATTCATATTTGTGAGTTGAAATATGCTCTAGGTATTCTTGCTGATTATGGGACTATTGGAGCAGTTCCAAACAAGATACCATTAGATCAACACTTCAAACTCTCCAAAAATTAAGGTGAATTATTTCCTAATCCTTCTATTTATAGGAGACTTATTGGGAGACTTCTTTTTTTAACAATAGCCAGACTTGACCTTGCCTACGAAGTGCAACTTCTTAGCCAATATATGCAAGTTTCTAGAATCCCACACTCAAATGCAATTCATAAGGTGTCGAAATATATTAAACGAGCTCCTAGATAGGGTTTGCTTTATTCTTATGCATCTAATTTACAACTTAGATCTTATTGTGATTGGGGGGTATGTCCAGGCACCAGAAAATCTATCACAATTTATTGTGATTTTCTTGGGTCCTCTCTAATTTCTTGGAAATCCAAGAAGCAAAATACTGTCTCTAAATCTCTGCAGAAGCTAAGTATAGGGCTATGTCAAGTGTTTGTTATGAGTTAAGCTGGTTTAGGTAAATACTTTGTGATTTACGGATTGATCATCTCCAAGCAACATCATTAGCTTGTGATAATCAAGTTGTCCTACACATTGCCACCAACTTGGTTTTTCATGAAAGAACCAAGCATATTGAGCTTGATTGTTATTTGATCCATGACAAAATTCAAGAACGGAGTAATGCTACTGAACAAGTCAGCAATGATGCACAAATTGTAGATATTTTGACTAAGTCTTTAACATCTGCATATTTTTATTCTTGCTTAACTAAGATGGAAGTAGAAGACATCTACTCTCCATCTTGCGGGAGGTTGTTGAAATCTGACAACAGTGCTCATTGTCAGCAAAGATTCCAGCAAAGTCAAAAAACTCAACAATTGTTTCACGATCAGATATGCCAGTAAGGCGCATAAATTCTAGAAGAATCTAAGGAAGACAGCTGAAAGAATATCAATATATTAGGCTCCAATTCAGTTATGGGTAGAAGAATCTTTTTTCATTATATGATTTTGTTCAGCTTGCATAGTGTTTGTTATAGATTTTTTTATTCTTCCCTGACAATTCTATAAAAGGCTCACCACCTGTTTGTATTTTTGACACAATGTATACACATTGAAGCAATTTCTCCCAGCTTGATTATTTTCTTTGGTTTTTCTACTTTGATTTTTCTTATACTTCGACGCTCAGAATAGCTTCAGCTTTTTTAAAATTCGAGTATCTTGTCGATCCCTCCTCCAATTATCAGCGCCGCTCATCTTTTCATTTTAGATTCAGATAATTGCATAGATAAATCGGGTGAATAAATGTGAAAATTTTACACGAATAGAGGGGGGAGAGAGTTCGTATATGTGTATAGGGTTGTAAAGAGTGAGTGTGAGGGAATTTGGCGTAGATAGAGAGTTGACAAAGGCAGGCTGGACTCAGAGTTGGAGGTGTGAGGGATCAGGGACGGACCCAGCCCCTGGCCAGCCCCCGCAGCTGCCAGGAGCAGCAGTTCAGCTTCAGCGGGGCGGCATCGCTTGTAGTGCCGCCGGGAAGATGGAGAAAAGGGGCAACAGCAAGCAGCAGCCCAGAAAATTATTTTGGTAGTTTGGGCCTTTAAAAAAAAAGCCCAAACCGTGTCTTGAAGTTGAATGGACCAATTAATTATACAAAATCCAGTCCGACAGAACAGAAGAAGTTCAGGTTTTGCTTGAAATTGAAATCGCATAGGAGCTGAGGGAAGCGAACTACGAAGTCGTGAGTCACGAAACCTCGGCGTGAAGAGAGTGGACGCTGGGTGCTGGCTGCTGCGAGCCTGCGACTCTGCCTGCCGACTGCGTCGCTGCCTCCGACGGTGAACGCGACCTGTGTCCGTGGCGGTGGTGGTGAAACCTCGGCGTGAAGATAGTGAAGTGTGAAGCGAGGTAAGTCTTTCGGTTTTCGGGAACTGATTTGAGTTTGTTTCTTTTTTTTTTTCTTTTTTATGAATTTGTTATTTATTATTGTGTGATGCTGAGATTATGAGTTGCTTGAGATATAATTTTGATTTGTGATTTGTGAAATGTGCACTGTGATTTGGGAACTTAGGTTTTCTAGAAATTAGGGACACATCATGAAAAAAATTAATGGAGATTGGGAAATTAGTGAAATGTGCACAGTACACTGTGATTTGTGATTTATCGAATCGTGTGTATTGAATTATATTTTGGGCTATTACGATTGTTGAATTTTGTGAATTTGAAAATTGAGGATGATGTGAATTTGAGAATCTAACAATATTGGTGATTTTGAAACTTGTGGATTTTGGGAATTTAGGTTTTTAGGGAATTAGGGATAAGTGAAAAAAATTTATAAAGAAGATGTTGAGCTGAATTAAACTATGTGTAGACTATTTTTTAATCAATTTTAATTGAAAAATAAATTGGGGCATTTTGCAGATTATGGAGCGATTTTTTCAACCGAAACGAAAGTCCATACCTGGATCTTCTTTATCTAGTTGTGCATCTAGTCCCGCAACTGATTCTAGTNNNNTTCAAAGCATGAGATCTCGTAGAATGCAGTTGTCTAAGATCACAGTTACAGAGTAGGTTGTATTGCGTATTTCTTTAGTATTTTTGGTTGTATTGAACTACGTTTTCATATATATATATATAATTTTTACGTTAGTGCGTTTACATATATATTGAATAATTTTTAATATTATATAATGAAATATTAACAAACGACATCGCTCTTACGATCGTTGACCAGTCAATGTTCGCCCGGGTTAAACTTAGATCTTGGGTCCACCACTGTGAGGGATGGAGAAGTTTTCCCGCGCTTTGTAAAGGCATGCTGAGAAAATAACATTGGATGTCACCCAACTTATAAGTTTATTTCTTGTTAGTCATTGAACTTTGATTTATTTCAATTTGAACACCCAATTTATATTTTTATTTCAATTTGATCGTTGAATTTCATAAATGATCCAATGCATGGCCTAGCAATTGTTTGACGTTAAATATGCAACTTCGACCAACAAGAAAAGTTCGGACAGGTGCATTATGAACCGTAAGTTTGCAAAATTCTTTCAATTTGTTTTGTAAACTGAGTGATCAAGTCATACAATCCATAAAAAGTGTGGAATTGGCCATTCAATTCGGTCACGTTTATGTGCAAAATAGTCTAAGTTGAATGCACGAATTGAAAAAACATTTGGTTGATCATTGTTGCGAAGGACAACCCTTTTATCTCATTTTCAAGGTATCTACTAAAAATTAAATTATAGAGTAAATAAATTGTAATCATACACGGTTGTAACAAACTGAGTTAGTGTTAGTAAAAAATTTGTACTCAAGCTCTTCAGACCATGTTGATGTAAAAAATTGGGTTAGTATTAATCCTTTGTTTGACCCACATTATTTCCAAAATACATCTCTCTCTCTCTCTACCACACATGTTTCGATAAAATAATATTACATGCAAAATCAAAAACTTTTCATTATTTTTTAACCACACATTTTCTATCAATCTACTATTCTAAAATGCATTATTTGCTAAAAATGGGGATCAAATAACAAAAGTCAAGTTTTGAGTCTATGCCATTATATTGACGACATTGATCAACGATAATTTGTACCCATCGATTTTTTATGGGCGTGACGTCCATGAATAGGATGATCTGCGATGTAACATTAATCAACTTCAGTGACAAAATAAGTGAAAAATATACTTGAAGCGCCAATTTGAAATCTCGCACACGCTTCACTAACATTTATGAAATCAACTCAAGGATAAATAAGTAAAAACTTAAATTTATTGAGAAAAAAAAGAAAAAAATTAGAGTTGAACCTATATTTCCGAAGCCCACACCACATCCCAGTCCCATTCAAATCAAGGGCCACATTTCCTAAGCCCAAAGACAGACTATGGATCGCTTTCAGCATGACTCAATGGCAATTTTCAAAAATAAAAATGATTCGTCCCAACCAGAACCCTAGATATAAATAACACCTCGAGCTCAAACAGGCACTCTCTTTATCACAAAACCCTAAGCAGCGCTATTTCCAGGTAACCCCCGTCTCTCTCTACCTAGTAATTATATTCGTGTGTATATGTACTTTCGATGTTTACGTATTCGTGTTTTGGTTGTTGTGGATTGATCTGTTTGTTTTTCTTTGGCTCTAAAACTGGTCAGAAATGAAGGTTGTTGCAGCTTACTTGTTGGCCGTGTTGGGTGGCAACACCTGCCCTTCTGCCGATGACCTGAAAAACATCCTCGGTTCAGGTTCAAATTTAGATATACATACACATTTGTTTTTTTATATCTACATACTCGTACGCATCTGTGACTGCCTGAGGATATGGATTGATCTGTTTGCATTTGTTTTGTATTATGTACAATTTTTGTTATGTAGTGTCCTTGTGAATCCAGTATCTGTTTGTAGATTCAAGAATTTGATCCTATGACACCCGAATTTGAATTAAGTTTCCTGAATCGAATTTGCTCGTGTTCTGCAGTCATTAAATTGGTATTAGAATTCCTTCAAATAAATATTACCTAAATGGATTTGAGTTCGGTTGATACATTTTCTTTGAAGATGTTGGTATGACAAAACACTAATGTAATTGTTGCACTAGTGAATATTTTCTCGACCATGTTTCTGATTTTCTTAGCGATTATGCACAATGGAAAATGAATGTGGATCGCGTAGGTATAGGTTAAATCTGGTGGATTTATGCATATTCGCTCATTTGGATGGGAGATTCTTGTTTCTCATGAATCTGTTGTGGGAGATTGTAACCAGGATAAGATTTTCTGGGGTTAAATCTCGTGAAGCCTAAACTAGAGTTTTTATATGCCCTTTCGGGGTTCTAGGCTAAAAATAGCTAGGTTCTTCTGGTAATTTTTTACTGATAGCTACTTACTAAACACATCAAGTTTTTTCGCAGATTACTCAACTTCAACAATATCAAGCGTAAATTATTACAGTTTTTGGGACATATTTATGTAATCTGAAAAAGTTTGTAACAATTTTGTTTGAAAAAAATTTCAAATTAACGTCGTCGAACTAGATCAATTTAAACATTTCAAGAATAATTACTTTTTTTGGGAGATTTTCTTTCAATACTTGGTGTATGTAATCTGAAAATGCTAGTTAAAATTGTATTAAAATAAACTGAATTTTAACAATGTCAAGCTAGATATTTACGTTATTTTGGATTTGTTGTTTGTTGTGTCAATTCTTGGTCTGTGTACTCAGAATCAGTTAATTTCAGAGTTTTTCGTTTCATACATGTTGCGACGATCGGTGGTTCCCCAAAATATCTAGCAGTAGCCCTAATTGTTGAACTTCTTTTGTTCAGTTGGAGCTGAGACCGATGATGACAGGATTGAGTTGCTCTTGTCTCAATTGAAGGACAAAGATATTACTGAAGTGATTGCAGCCGGAAGAGAGAAGTTGGCTTCAGTTCCTGCTGGCGGTGGTGCAGTTGCTGTAGCTGCACCTGCTTCAGCAGGCGGTGCTGCTGCCCCAGCTGCTACTGAAACAAAGAAGGAAGAGAAAGTTGAAGAGAAAGAAGAGTCGGATGATGTAAAATACAGCACTTCATTCTTTTTCGTGACTGTCTTTTTCTTTTCTTGGATCAATTTATATGCTGAAGAGAAATTTAATATTGTGACTTCTGTTTCTATGGTTGCAGGATATGGGCTTCAGTCTCTTCGACTAAAAACTGGGAAACAGGAGGATCCAATTCTGTCGAAGTTACTGTCCTTTAAGTTCATTTTAGAAAATTTTCACATTGTTCTTGGTTTTGGATCCAGAATTTTGTTTTTAAGTTGACAAGTTGCAGATATTGGGATATAATATTCTCAAGTTTGAGTTTATATTGGGATGTGTATAGTCGTGATTTTTTCTACCTCACCTATCTTTTAGTTGGATGAATCGCTATTTGCTTAATTTAACGACTGGCGCGCAATTGGTCCCAAACCCTTTGTCGATATTGTGGGTTTGCTCTGAACATTTAAATCTTGGCACAAATTATGACGTGGCACATTAATCAATTCAGTCGCGCTACGTTACTAGAAGCAGTTGACATGGGCGTTGACAGGAGGACGTGACAGTATGATGTGGACGAAATTTTTACCATTTTGAATTAGAAATGCATTTTAAAATAAACTGATCTGGCCCAAATGATAAACCCGTTGCACCCCCCACCATCTAAACCTAGATCTCCCAAATCCGTTTCCCCTCTTTTGAAACCCTCTAAATCGAAGTTGCAACCATCTAAACCCTCCTACATTTGCACATCTTCTCCAACGGTGCAAATCCAAGCTTACAATGAGAGGAAAGAACTACGGAGTGTGTTATAGCTGTAGAAGCAAGGGACATTTTTTGCGAAATGCCCGAACAAACGCCTCTGTCCATGGTGCAATCTAGGCTTCGTGAAGTGTTTTGAAGTGGAAAAAAAACGAAAAACCAAGGTAGGTTATTCAACACTTGCAGGGTGAACTGTGGTTTTTGGGAGTGGGTTGAAGCTGGTGAAACGAGTAGTGTATCTAGGTCCATTAATGTGGCAAACGCTATTGCTGAAGATTTATTTGGGTTGTTGAACTCACGATGCCGCCTAACTGATGAAGGAGAAGAAGTGATATATGTGACAGTGAAAATACGAAATGGAGGAGCAAGCTAGATTTCGAGGGTTTAATGAAATTGTAGTTAGGAATATAGATTGAATTTGGAATTCGAATTTTGAACGTTGTAAATATTGGGTTGTGCTTAGTGATTAACCAATGGGCAGTATGTGAAATCGTAGTTAGGAATGTAGATTGAATCAGATGCTTAACTCTTGTAAATCATTTCATTTGGAATTCCACTGTGTACTCAGTGTTAACTTCTGTTAGCATTTCATTATTTCCAAAATGAAAAATGCTATTTCACTAGTTTGGGTGACATTGTGCATGATAAATGCCATTTCATTGTTTTCCAAAATTGCAATGTGCTGTTGAGTTACTGAGGACACTGGTGTCGTGTATGGTTATTGCAAAAATTCCACTACCAAGCTGAGTTACTCAGCCCCGTTTCAATGGTTTTAATCTCACTGAACTGGAACTGAAACTGAAATTCAGTTTACAGTGTATGGGTTAATCAAAATTTACTAATGAAATTCAGAAATAAATATATTGTTGAAGATCATCAGCAGAGTTTGGCAATGAATCAGAGTTGGAACCTTAAAATAACAAGTCATTTGTATAAGGGATCAATAACAAGTCATATATTGTTGAAGATCATCAGTAGAGTTTGGCAATGAATCTAACATCAATAATGTAGCTGCCCTTGCTTGAAATAACTTGAGCCAAGTAATTTTTATCTTCACCACCAACACTCAATACAAAGCATACCACTACTATACAAAATGGACTGATCCATCTGATCTGATAGCATCCACTGGTTTCCCAAAACATTAGAAATGATAATATATCACAATGGATAAGTAGGTTCATAACCAAACAACAGAATTTGTAACATAAACAAAAAAGCAACTTCTTCTCTCAAAAACCGTTATTTCATAAATCAAATCTCAATAAACGATATAAAAGAGGAAGACATAGTATCAACAAATATATAGAAGCTTGGATGCAACATCTTCATCTAAAATCCATACTAAATTGAGCTTAACAAAAAAACTTTGCAATGCAAATACCTCAGACCGAGCACCTAATGTGAAGGAAGGTCCTACATCTGCAGGTGCATTACAAACTCTATTCTCTCATCCAAACTTGAAGTTAGTCTTCCACGGCCAACATCTAATGTAAATGAAGGTCCTACATCATGTACTGGTTGTATACCCCAACCTGTAAACAACCAACTATAATCTGAGATTGATAGAATAAGTCAACCAACTATAGCCACATAAGTTAAAGTTGGTTTCGTGTTACTTTACCTTGTGGATTCAATATAGGATTGGTTGACGATGAATTGATCGAACTGGAGATATGTAACTGTTGCCTGAATTGATGACATTGGTTTCCACCCTGATAGACGGTCGCAACATCTCCCACATTACTTGTAGGGATGGGCGCGGGTCGGTTCAGTTCGGTTCCATAAATTTTCGGGTATTTAGTAAATGGAACCTTCGGTTCCAAATATAATTTTGGAACATTTCGGGTTCGGTTCAGTTCGGTTCGATTATGTACTATAATTAAATTTTTTAACATTTAGAATAATACTACATAAATACACCTGAAAGTAGATACTAATATTAATAACAAAAAGTAAATACAAATACTAAGTTCAATCTTAACTTTTACAAATTAACGTAATCTAATTTAATAATATATAAATAATAAATTGTCAAATACAAATACGAAAAAGTAAATATTAATAATAAAACTTCGATAATTCATATCAATAATTCATTTGATTTAAACATTCAAGTCTACATAAAAATGAAATATAAATTAGAAGTCATAAAGAAAAAATATATTAAATTATTGATAATACTTACCAACTATTTAATGTAATCATCAGTTGCTTGACTTTTCATACTAACTAATAAGAAACTATATAAGAAAGAATTGAAAAAAACACAATTAACAAATATAAATAAACTCTAAATTGTTCAACTAATAAGATTTAATAAGAAAAAAATTATTAATTTGTTTAGAAAAAATAAAAGAAATTGATTTATCCAATATAAAAAAAAATTCGATTCTTCGGTTCTTGGTCTAGAATCGAGAACCGAACCAAATCATTCGGTTCTCGATTCGAATACCAGTTCGTGTATTTCATTTAAAAAAAATCGCTTGGTTTGGTTCAAACATTTTGCCCAGCCCTACTTACTTGGTCGGGCCTTCGGTCTCTTGACTTTATTTGAACTTGAAGGTGCCTGCAAGACATTATTTGTTATTATCTTATATAGCATACTAACTTTACTTTACTTTTGTTAAACAAAATTTTGGGAATGACTCTAACTTTGTTTGAATGTGATTCCAATGGACTCTTCTTTCGAAATTTCCTAGGTGCACCCTTTCTTTTCGTACATTTTGGATCTCGCACGCTAACACTTCCATCTTCCTATGATGAACCAGGCCAAATGGCTGCCTGCCTAATATGCGGGAGCACACTATTACTACCACAACTTGACTTCGACATCATAATCTGTTTACATTGCATATCGATCTAATTAATTATACCACCAGCTCGTACTGCATCATCTGCAGTCATGTCCGCCAACGTAGCAAAATGCTGACACATTTTATCATACACTAACTGTCCTGGAGTACTAACCAATACGTCGTAGTTTATCGCAACCCTTGAGTGTGCTCTACTCACATCTCGTCGCCATTGCTGTAGTATATATTGTTCAGGCACTTTTTTCACGTCGTTTCGGATCAAAATTGCAAATAATTCCTCGAAATTCGAACAGGTGGCAGCTACAAGTGAATTCACATTTTTCTCTTTCAAATGAGACGAAAGCTGTTTTTTTATTAAAGAACTCATCATGTATGACATGCTCGCGTACCTCATATGTCGTTCCCACAAACCCCTCTGAAGCAGATATGAGATCACAATATACTTTTCCCGTAAACTCTTCTTGAACCTCCCTAAATTTCGAAATTGTGTACACTACTTGAAATTACTTCTCCATTTCATATATCGTTGCACAGGGTACCATTTGCAAGTAAGACTTGAAATCTGTTTGAAACTCCTTCTCAACTTTACTTCTCAACGTTCGTTCGTATTGTTCAACAAATTGCTTCAATGTCTTTTTGAATGTACGTAACCATCGAAGAACGCATTCATACTTTCATTACGTTGCGTTGTTGACATCCCTGCCCAAAATGAAGTTTTCAAATAACACGAAACCCAAAATTTTATGTTCTCGTATAGACCAGACAACCAAGCGTTATCATATAAATCATACTTTTTGATCATCGCTACCCAGCCTCTTTCAAATTCGTCAACAAATTGACAATTATATACCAATCCATGAATAGTTGCAAATATTGAACCCTTATCCATGTGGTATCCAAAATTTTCTAGCAACTTCTTCAAAATATACCACAAACACCATCTATACTTCGTGTTCGGAAAACTATATGGATTACATTTTGCATAGCCCTATCTTGATCTGTAATTATCTCATTCGGAGCTTGGCCGTGCATGCACTCTAACCATGTCCTAAATAGTCATAAGTATTTGGTATCCTCATTTGATAACAAACCACATCCCAGGAGTGTTGATTGTCCGTGATGATTCACGCCAACAAAAAGGGCGAAAGGCATGTCATATTTATTAGTCAGGTATGTGGTGTCGAATGTGACACATCTCCGAACTCTTTATATGCTGCCTACTCCTATTATCTGCCCAGAAAACATTCTTTAATTTCAACTCTTCATCCAAATCCATACTAAAGTAAAAGCCCGAGCACTGTGCTTGCATTTTCGAAAAGTATGATTGTATTGTTGCGGCGTCTCCTTCTCCAAGTCTTAAACGCTTAACTTGTTCAACATAGTTTTAACAATCATTTTCAATGCAAGTCATCTTCTCATACCCACGAGCTCAACGACAGCAGAGTTGTAACTTTTGTGCAACATAATTCCTGCGATGTCATTTACTTGAAGAAGCCGTTTCACATGTGCACTCAATTTTCGGTTGCATCGATATAGCCTTGATTTCGTAGGACTTGTGCTATGATTGTGCTCGAGGTGTACTGTGTTAATTCTC